CTAAGAACATTTCGCAACAAACTAATCTCAAATTAAATTGATGTTAACAATATTGTATGGAAAACTTGGAGTTTTTTAATAATCTTTTTTTATTCAAGCTTTGACAAATAGTTTTAAAGTATTATAAAAATTATAATTATATATTAAGTATATATTGAGTGTATAATTTGTATACATATATAGATATATGACTAATTTCTTATAACTAAAGATACTACAGTGCTTAACATATCGATGTTCACAACTTTAGAATGGTGATTATGCTGGAAATTCCAAGGTTTTCGCTTGTGGTTTCATTAGTTGATGAGATTATTTTTTGACGTTGAAGCGGCTTGATTGAATTCATTTTACGTTTAAATTGTATTATAATTATTTTATGTTCTATCGAAAAAAAGATCAAAAAACTCAAATTAAATTTAAAAATTAAATTTAAATTAATATTAAATGTCTGAGGTATAAAAAGTATATAAATAATAAATTTTATATAATTTTTATTTATTTATAATTTTATATAGCTAACACAACATAACAATAACTCTACTCTACATGATATTGAAAGTTGATTAAAGTAATTATTTAATATTAAAAAATGCTGGATTTAGTGATAATAAAAATAAATAATAAATTCTTTTAAATAACAATAACTTTTACATTAAAACAGATTATTAATTCGTTTGAAATCTCCAAATGGGTATGATTGTTATTTTAAAAGTTAATTATTATTTTTATGTTTTTTTCCTACTTACTTTTACTCACATCATGTCATGTGCCTACACTAATTTACTTTATTTTTAGTTATAATTCAAAATCGGATTGCAAAACTAATAATTCAGATGGGAAAATATGACTATGTGGCACCAATACTTCGTGAGTTGCATTGGCTGCCAATTGAAAACAGAATTACTTTCAAGGTTCTATTAATGATGCAAAGATGTTGCAAAGGTACAGCCCCGCAATACTTTATACATCTGTGCAGGACATCATCAATCGAGGGTAGAAGGGCTTTGAGGTCTGTCCAGAACAGTGATTTTCAGGTACCGCGAGTGAAGTCATCGATGGCTTCAAGAAGTTTTGCTTTGCAGTGTATGACCCAATGATGAGGAATAGTTTGCCAAAAGAATTGTAAAGGAATGAAATTGAAGAGTTGGTATTCAGAAAAAACCTCATGTTTTTTGTGGGAAAAAGCGTTTGTTGCAAGATTTTTTTCGATGCAAAAACAACAAAATGTTTATAATGTATTTTATGGACATAACGATAAAATAAACTAAAACGTGTCCGGCTATGCAAATTGACAAAGAGAAGTTCGATCGTAACACGTTCGTGAGGACAAGAGTGAGTGCCGTATTAACTCAACATAATAACAATAAAAATAAAAACACTTGAAAATGCTGTTGTTAATCAAAGTGGAACTTATCAAGTTGCTTATTAAGATTTAACAACTTACGAATAATCAATTTATAATAGGATGTTTCTAAGGAGAGTGTTTCTACTTTTTTGACTATATCTATAACATATACTATATATCTATGTAAAAACTATACAATACATATATTCGTTTTGTTTGTATGAATCCTATCCCCAAGCTCATGCTCAGTCATGAAAGTGAAATTTTTCTTCATTCAATTGTAACCTACATTCATTTTACTGATTCAAGTCTAAAACAATTTTCAACTATTCGAGTTGACTTTGGATAATGAATGATTGAAAAAATTGTTGATGATGCAACAGACATATATAACAAATTAATATGTATTAACAATCATATATAACATTAAGCAAGCAGAATTATTCACTGTATGTAAGCTCAGCAGATTAGTAAATTCAGTATATTTTATAACTAAGTTCAATTTTGAAGCAATATAATTTTTATAAATTTGTTACCACAATTGCTTACACATCAAAAGTTATATTTAGTTTTTTACTTACATAATGTCTATAAATATGATAGCAATGTTCATTTCATTTCTAACTGGCACCCGGCCTAAAAAAAACATTGGATGAATTTTTATTGAAAAGCATGGATTATTAAAAAATTATTTTAATTGCTAACGAATTATTAAAGCTTATTTTTTATTTTCAGCAACAATTGCATCAGAAATCGAACGCACTTTAACAAAAATGTTGATAAAGAAAATATCTCAAAATAATGGTTTTGTTGAAATGAATGTTGATGATTGGACTTCAACTGTGAAAACAAATTTACCTGAATTGGACAGGAATTATTCTGAACACAATTTATTCACTTTTCTCAGTGCCAGTAATTATTTTAAATACAAACCTAAGATTAGTAAAGGGAAGATGATATATCACATAGAATTGCATGATGTACCGAAAATCTGCAAGGTTAAATCTAACATTTCATAAATATAAAATTAAGCAAAAATATGACTTTGCAGAACTACACAAATCCAGAGGGGTGCAATCTGATCATGCATCGAGGAAATGACTGCAAAGAGTTGCACTGCTGTTTACATTATTTGACGGGGAAATGTAAATTCAAAGCCAAATGTAAATTCAGCCATAATCTGCTAGACGAGCATAACAAGCCCATTTTAAAGTCTTTTCTGATGCATAGATTAACCAAAGAAGAAATTTGTTCTTTATTAAACATTGAAAATGTGGTAAGTTGATTTCAATTATAATTCAAAATTAAAGCAAAAAATACTCGCCTCTAAACCTCTAAAATAAATTGATTTTCTTAGTTAGAAAACAAAAGACCATTGATATGCAAAGGTTACAACAGTAAAAGTGGATGTCTCTTTGGAGACCAGTGTGTTTCCATTCACTTGTGCAATTATTACATCCAACAAGATTGCAAATATGGCAAGAATTGTAAAAGATCACACAATTTGTTGGAACCTTGCCTTCAAGAAGTTCTTGTTAAAAGAGGAATTGACATCAATCAGAGACCGAGGCAGATTATTCTAGATATACAAAAAATAATAAATTTTTCTCCTAATAAAAATAGTGATGAAGGTGATGAAGATGATGAAAATGATATTTTCGGTTTATCTGAATCAGATGAAGAAAGAAAAAAGAAAAATTTATTCGGAAAAATGCAGAAAAGTTTAAATTTTCATTAATTTTCATTTATAAATTGTTTTAATATTTCATTGATCATTATAATGTTTACAAAAAGAAAGCATCGTTAAAACAAGATCTAAATTTGCTGAAGATTCAAATGATGCACGTCAGATCTGTACATTCCATCTAAGAGGCAAATGCTTTTTTGGGGACAACTGTGCACTCTACCATCAAAAAAATTTATTACCTTACCAGTGGCAGTATGAAGAAACTGTTGATACTTGGCTAAATTTTGAAGAGAATCAGTCAATTGAAAAAGCTTTCTGCGATTGCTTGAGTACTTACAAAATATCTTGGTTAGATTGGAGTATTATTATTTTAAACAAACTACTGACAACACCTGTAACTATATTTTGGTTGATAAACCAAATAAATATCATTTTCTAAAACATGATATAGCACAAAAAGAAATGAACCGGACGTTGAAATTACTTTTGAGACAATGAGCTACAGGCAACTTGAAATAAAATCTTTTTTGAGAATAGTCTCTTCTGTCACGACCACAAAGGTAGGTTGTGTAAGAAGGCTATCCACTGATTCACAACTGAACCAACCACATGAGTACGACTTCCTCACATATTGGAAGTGGTTTTGGCTGGACAACCGCTTGCTATGGACTGAATACTTAGATGATGTAAAAATTATTTTTCAAATTTTTGTTTTCATAAATTCAATGTTTAAAAATTTAACTGACCACAGCAAGGATATCCAAGTTCTAACACTCTTGAAAATGAGTACCAAAATAACCGATCAAAAAAGTTTAGTTTCACCGCATCAGCACCTATAAAATTCTGTTACGAAATAGACTTTGACAACATGAAACAAACAAATTTGTTGACAAAGGCAGAAAGGAAGATACTTAGAAGGCCGGACACTTTTGATCCTACCTGTCGCAAGCCGATGAGGTAGTTCATACGATTACATTAATTTGTGTCATAGCCTAGTGGTTAAGGTCACCTGGTCCAGTTTTACAGTGACCGGGTTCGAGCATGACAAAAGGATGCCGTCCTATCACATGCTTTGTGTGTGTTGCGTCGTTTAGCACGTGCGTATTCATATACGCTGTTGATTCCTCTACACTTTGGAAGGAGTACAATAGATTTTTTACCTTTTTCAACTTTTTAAATTTTGAATTCTAACTAAAGTTTGAAAATAAGTGTCATATATGTACATTACTAAGGAAGTTAACGGTAAAGATCTCATAATATTTTATAATATAAAGATTGAATCCTTTGATTCCAAACAAGTGTCAATGTTTGGCGTTTGAACACCAGTTCGTGAACAAATCCTTTTGTGAAAGAACAACAGGTTGACTATTAAGTTTAAACTTGATGATATGTGCAATGAATGAGTCGCAGAGCTTGAAAAAACTGAAAACTCAGTGTTTTATGAGAACAAGAATGAAAACTGGACTGTTCTGTTAGTAGCGGGATGTTTTGGACAATCAAAACCAACAGAATATCCTTTGAAAAAATTTTGATCCAACTCTTAGAAAGAATTCTCATTATTAACGATAACTTAATAAAAGGACGACTATTGTAAAATTAAAGAAAAAAAACTTACGATAGAGTTTATTGGTTTAGCTTTGCCCTGTCATGACAATCCCACTGGAGCTTAAGATTATATCATTACATGAACAAATTTTTCATCTGTACTGATATTTGATTTGGATGCTTATTACAATGTTAGGAATATAATACAAAAGTGCTATTTATGATCTTTTAATAATCTTTTTGCAAAGCATTTCTTTTATTGAGAAAACAAAGGATTCATTGGAAATCATATTTCCAAAAACATGGGAGACTACATTGAAAGATGATTCTAATGCTGTACAAGTTTGTAAAATTTTATTTATTCCGATATCTAGTCATATTTGCACTTTCAGGTTTCATACATGTAAGCTTTTCTATATTTCTCAGCTAATAAGCATCGGCAAGACAAGCAATGAATTCAAAGAAATCGAAGCCCTGTTCCACCAAACAGTTAAGATACCACTGAAGTCAGTAACTCGAATACAGAACAAGCCTCTATGGAGCTTCTATTATATGTAATTACCAATCCAGTTTTATTTTGATAATAATTTTGAAAATTAAAAGCATTAATCATTTTAGCAATACAAAATATATCGTTTTTAATGATTTCTCTAGATAAACAACTTGTTTAAATGAAAAGCTCAAACCAAATTTGAATTCCAAACAGGAAGAAGCAAGCAATACTGAAAAAGAAACCTGGTCTAGCCATAACAAAACGTTTGTTTCATGGGACAAGCGAGGATCTTATTGATGCAATATGTCATCAAGGATTTGATTTCAGATTGAGTGGGAGCAGGATAGGACACGTGTATGGTTATGGGAGCTATTTTGCACGAGATGCCTCCGTTTCCTGTGGTTATACCAATTCAGGGCAACTGTTTGTAGTTGAAGTGGCGGTTGGAGAATACACAAAAGGGTTGTGTGATTATCGGAGGCCACCACAGAAAGGTCTAGCCAGTTTGGATTTGTATGATTCTTGCGTTAATGATCCACTCAATCCGTCTACATTCGTCATCTTTGACAATCACCAAGCCTATCCCGAATATCTCATTAGATATTAAATAGTGATAAGCATAAAATCATCGAGGTTTTGATTTTTTATGTATAATTTAAACAATACTTCGAAAAATGAATATATTGGTTTAAAATCAGAGCACAAAGGTAAAATTACAATAATGTAATAACGAAAAAATTCAAAATTGAGAAATTTTCAATTTGGTTTAAAATAATAAAAATTACTAGTGTTGATGGGTTGTGCATATTTTGTGGCAAATTTGTTTAAAAAACTATAAAATACTCACACTTTAATATACATGATAGTATTGAAAAATTCTAAAATTTGTACTAAGGTTCATTAGTAGCACTTCAGAAAATAATTTTACATATGATCGTTAAGAGCTAAATTATTTTTTGAACATGAGGCATAAATAAGAGCAGGGGATAAGTCCAAATGTCACTATGTATATTACAACTGCATTATTTATCTTTCACTATTCAATACACAATAATGGTTGGGGCTAATAGTCATCACAAATCTGAGCATAAAAATAAAATTTAATGTTAATCAGAACATTTACAAGTCTTTTTAAGCCCAAAATAACTTAATATATTATAATTAATTAAAAAATATGAAGTTTGAAAGATGATAATTAAAAACTGCATTTCATGAAAGAACGTTAACCACATATTCTAATGTGACTGATTATTATCATCATGATACCACCGCCATCTCTATATTGTTCAACTAGTAAGACACTACATTCGACTGGCAAAGGAAGTACACAAAGTGATAGAATGAAGCGAAGGTAACATGAGAAGAGAAATACATTGAATGTAAGAACAAAATGACATAACGAGGAAAGAAAGAGTTTGCTGGAAACATGCAATGACGATGAACGAAATAAGATCATTTCATCTGTTTGGTCGCTGTTAAATGACTTTCATTTGGAATATATGCACAAAAATACCCAAACTATTATAAAGAATAAAAGAACCAAAATATATAAATATGTGGACACTATTCCGTTGGCAAAATTATGAAAACCGACATTACCTGCTACAAAAAAAAATTAATTTTAGTAAGCTAGCCAGGTTGTGACAGCAAAAGCAATAATAAAAATTTACAAAAGTAATGATTGTGATTTTAATAAAACAATTGCTTGTTGTTGAACGTACAATGTCGTACACATACACGCATGCTCAGTGGCACCTATATTTAATTTTCTAAGATAAATTAAAGACGTCACGCATTGATGTAACTTAGAAATGTACATAAGTAACTAACAAATAAGTGACAATTTATCATGTTTCAACTTATAGAAGCTAGTTCATCTTAGATATTACACATTCATAAAAGGGCACATTTTGCTTTTTTCTTGGGCTCTGGTGGTTCCAACGCTGCCAATATAGCCTCATCAAAAACGTTTTTCAATCCTTTCTGTATAATTTATAATTAATATTCTTAGTTAAAAGTTAATTACTTTATCGTGGATAATTTTCAAATGCAGCTGATGTAAAAATAAAAAAGTGGAACCTGAGTGAGAGCGGAACATTCAACATATCTTATGGCTTTCAGTTCTTTGGCTTGCTTTTCACCCATATCATTAGTTATTGGTCTTTGTCGATTTTTAGCCAGCTTGTCAACAGTTGTAGCATCTTCCCTCAAATCTACCTGAGTACCCACCAACAGAAATGGCGTGCGTGGACAATGGTGGGTGATTTCTGGTACCCACTGTTTAATGCAATTAAAAAGTCACAATGAGGTGTGCTTGCAGTATGTGTGATATGCGTTACTGAAAAACATAATTCATTCCATTTATTAATACATCATCAATTTAAATCGAAATGCAAAAGAGGAAAATTTAAAGATAAATAATATTAGAAACCTTCTCTTTGACATTTTCAAAAGAAGAAGGTGAGATGACTGAAAAACAGACAAGAAAAACATCTGTTTGAGGGTAGCTTAGAGGTCTAAGCCTGTCATAATCTTCTTGTCCAGCCGTGTCAAACAATCCTAGAGTGTAAGGCTCACCTCCAATCATCACTGTGACAGCATAGTTGTCAAAAACCTTAAGTAATAAAACGTTATAAAGTTGCAGTATATAATTTTAATTTTCTGTAATTTTAGTAAAATAGAATTAGGATTTTTTTGTTTTTCGTGGTGTTCAAATCACTCAACAAATTTTGATTTAAAATAATGTAAATTTATTTTAGCAATCAACATTTTTATAAATAAATGCATAATTTTTTGAGTTGATGATCAATCAATCAATCAATCTTCGTATAGCGTCCAGAGACCCAGTTCCCTGAGGTAGGACGTTGTTTTCTTTGCCATCAATTTCTTGCGCCAAATTAGACGACAAGTTGTATCTATTTCATTTAAATTTAGAGCTTTCATGTCTTGCTCAATTGTTTGCGACCAGGACTTTTATGGACGACCTTTGGGACGTGTGCCAGGTACTTCAACATCTGCAAGAGATGTTATGGCACTGTTTCCACTTCGTTTGACATGACCAAACCATCTCAGACGGTGTTGTCAGTATTCGTCCTTTATATCATCCAAACCAGCACGACACAGGATTTCGGTAGATTTGATGTGGTCCTTCAGACTAATTCGTTGCATCCACCGAAGCATTTTCATATTGGTTTGGTGAAGTTGTTGTTCCAGTTTGGTTGTCATTGGCCAGAATATCCCCTAGATATTGAAACGATGTGACTTTCTCTACCTTAATGGCTTCAAAAACAGTGCTATTTCGTATTTGTTGCTTTGGATTGATGCAAGCAGGACAAACAAAATTGGACAGTTTATATAAAGTACCAATTATTTTAGAACAAAGTTTGTGACACCACTGGTTACACTGCTGACACTTGATTGAATTGTTACCTACACCAGCTTTACAAACTGAACAGTGAGTTGTTACAAACTGAACAGTGAGTTGATGGAACATAAAAAAAACAAAAGATTTGTTGTGGGACAAATTGCAGACGTCTGCAAAGACCAAAACTTTTTGAAGTATGCCTGCAGAATAACAAAAAAGATTTCAACTGTTATATGTAAAGAAAAGTTTGTCAGTATGGACTGCAGTTTTACGACAAACTTTTAAACAATGGTTTGAAAGACATAACTTAAACCATCATATCAAGAAGCATTTAGTTTTCAAAATAATTAGTTGACATTTCTAAAAATATTGAAGATTTTTTTTCTAGAATTCTTAAGGCAGATGAGGACAATGACAGAACTACAAAATTAGGCATGGAATTTTGTGAACAGGCATTAAAAACTTTGTGGTTGTTAAGGAAAAGTTTTCAGATTTGATGTAAGTTGGTAGAAAAGTTTATTCTGGATAAATTAACAAAAAAAAATAAAAAAGAGAACTACTTTAATACAAAGTCATAATAACCATATTTTATGTAGACATATACATAATATTAGGAGGATCATTTATTTTATTTGCATGATTCTTTCTTAGCCTTGCAAAACTTTAACACCTAGCTTAAGTAACAACTAACATTATTTTATATCATATTTTATTTCATTCAAATAACTACCTTTTTGTTCTTTATTGTACTGTAACAAATTATTATAAACACTTTTTTTATTTGAATATTTCGCCAGCAAAACTATTCAAAATTGTACATTCAACTACACAACTATAGGCAAGCAACCGAAGTGATTAAAATCTCTATATACAATACTAATAAAATTCACCAATCATTAAAAGATAAAATCCAGCATGATAAAAAAAGTATAATATTAAATCCAGCACCATAAGATAAAAATACCAAGTGTAATTCAATATCCAAAATGTCATTTCTATTTGTTGAACATGCTATTGCCCAGATAAATGAAATTTTGAAAATAAAAATCTCACTGTAGGGACATATTCAGATGGAAATTTGTTTGTTGTGTACGAAATTAGTAAACATGTTTTACCGACTGCACCATCCCCAACGACAACACATTTGATTGTTTGCATTTTCCCTACATAAAAAAAAAGATTTAATTAAAAACTGAATTAAATTTTAACATGAATTATGATCTACAACTATGATTTATATAAATAATATAAAAAATTCTATATAGTTATGTGTGCTGATCTGGTAATATAATATAATATAATAAAATATGATAATGAGAATAGGAATGAAATGATGATGACATGATGATGTGAGGAACCTTGTCTAGTTTATTAAACTTTATTCAAAAAAATATATGTATTCAAGTTCACTTTATTCTAGGTAAAAACGTAACTATCAATTTCATTAATCGGAACATGACTACGAAATAAAACCCGGTTAGAGGTTCGGCAGGTGGAAGACAAGAAGAGAAAGATAAAGAGAGGAAGATGAGAAAGTAGATTGGTATCCAAAAACGAAACAGGAACTACATAAAAATTGCAATATATCCCAATAAAATACATTTATTGGCTCAAAATGACTAACAAGACAACAATCAAACAAATTTATTCATCCATTACAATATTATTACCTTTAATCAATTAATTTGATCGCTTTTTTGAGGAATTTAATAGACGAGGAAGACGGATACACATACAGCAAAAACCAAAAACTATAAATATAATAAAATTAATGATTACATCGTCGTTAACACTCATTTGTATGTAATAGAAATCAATAAATAAAATTTTGTAATGAGAAGTTATAAGATTTTTCTATCAAAAATTTTATTTTGACAATGAATAATTTTTAGAGACTGTTAATTTATTTAAAAAAAAAATTATTTGCGATATAAACGACTACGTATTGTTCAGTTAGTTGATCACACCTGGTTTATTCATAACAAACTGCTTACAATTTTAGGCAGCCTATCAGCTATTGAGTTAGGCATCATCATTAAGCACTTATTTATGAATATGGCTTGAGGGTGAGAGAAAAATGTACATTAAATGTAGTTTTTTGTTTTTACAACTTTTTACTCTGCTGATCCAACTCTTTTTATGCAAGTAAGATATTAATTTAATGAGATTAATTTAATTTCATCGTGATAAGTACACTATTAAATGTTGTTTAATCTCTTAGAAATGTCAAGGAATCGAACGATGAAAAATGTGGAGTGCCTCATGTTAAAATAGATTTTAATAAAAGAATAGTAGGTGGAGAGCCAGCGAGACTTCATTCGTGGCCCTGGCAGGCCAGATTGTTGAAGTACTCTTCCAACCATAGCGCAGTAGACATCTGCGGTGGAACCATCATTTCAAGTCAATACGTTGTAACTGCTGCACATTGTGTGTCAGTGATTTTTAACTCTTAATTTATGATCGTCAATTCAATTTCATAATTTTATTCATTTTTAATGAAATCATCTAAATATATTGCAACAAAATATGTAGTTTTTGAAGTGCGAAAATTTAAATTTTTCCCGATAGATGGAATAAAGAAAAAAACAAAAGTGAAAACGCCAGTAGATATCTGGTGATAGCGGGAGATCACGATCGTTTGTCTGAGTGGGATGGAGAAACACAAAACGTATCTTTGGAATACATCGAAGCTCATCCAGATTACAATTACAACTCTTCATTGAACGACATAGCTATTTTAAAATTGGTAACAGATTTGAAGTTCAACGAAAACGTCAGTAAATGCTGTATCTCATCGACGCCTCCAGTGAAAAATGAATTTTGTCTCGCTACTGGTTGGGGTGTTACTCAAAAAGGTTATAAGCATATTTCTAAATTTTCTTTATTTCACTGATTGCTTTCCAATTTCAGTGACCGAATCTAAAGATTTTTTAAGACAAGTCAATCTACCAATTATATCGACCAAATTATGTCGAAGCGTTTATTTCGGAGACAAAGTTAAAAGTGGAATGTTCTGTGCCGGGTATAAACGCGGTGGAAAAGATACATGCCAGGGTGATAGTGGAGGTCCACTTGTGTGCAAAAGAAGTGGTGTGTGGTTTCTAACCGGCATCACAAGCTGGGGAGTGGGCTGCGCGGAACCCAACAGCCCAGGAGTGTACACGGAAGTTAGCGATTACGTCCAATGGATCCAATCTGTTGTTAAAATTTACAAGATTATGCAGACGTGATATTCCAATAAAATATTTATTAAATCTTCTGTTATTTTCAATCTTTTTCTAAAAAACGACCAGTTTACATCGTTTGGTGATTTGTTGTAATTTTGTTGAGTTGTATTTTAACAAGCGTTCTCTGTAAAACGTCAATTTTCATACAAATTCAACGGTTTTTGAAAAGTAAACATTACGAACGTGTAACAACAAAACCTGTCTATAAAAAATTGTAAATCGACGTATGCACGTTCCGAACAAAGCAACAAAACACACCTCTCTGCTAAAAGCTATCAAAGAAATTCATACGAAAATTTTGTATGGGCTATAAAACGGTGTATCAGAAAAATACCAAACTGAATTCGTAAAATTTGATTAAAAGTTTTGCAAAGAATGTAAATGCTTATTATTTTAATTCTTTAATAATGGGCAATGTAAACAAACCGCAAGCAAAATACAGAAATGGAGATACAAGCCTATTTAGCAATTCAATAATAAACAACGCAGAAAACGACCGACTCAAGATAATAACACCAAATGAGAACCGTCGAAATGAATCGGGTTTACATTCAAAAGTTTCGACTGAATACGGAACTATTGTGCTCATTGATGATAACAATAATAATGACCAGACAGATAGCAAAAACTGTCGCAACATCGCCGAAAATAATAACGGTAGCCACATTGATCATAACCAGGATGATAATGTCCGAATTGAAGTTACCGAGAGCTGCGACAACAGCGAAAACAATTTATCTAGTATTTCTAACAATTCAAATCGCGAAACATTGATAACCGATCTGAAACAACGATCAAAACATGAACAACCAAGCGACGTCTCAACGAGTCAGAATACATCCGTATGGGCCGTGGAATTAATGTTCCTTTTATACAAAATTGCCGAATCTATATTAGAACCAACCGTTCGCTTGTACTTGTACGAAAGTGTCTGTCTTAATTTGTACCCAAAAAATAATCACCACTACATATGCGAACATCTGAAATTTGACCTAGGAAAAGAACATGAAGTTCAGAGCAATGCTGCACGTTACATGGTTTACTATAAGGTTAATCGCGGTTTTGCATGTTATTTCAATGATTTTTATTATTAATTTTAATTAATAAAAATTGTTAACGTTTATTTAAACAATCGCATGACCAAAACTAAAATTGACAAAAACAAAACAACTAATTCAGGATAATATAAAAACTTGATCTTACAGATTTTAATAAACTTTCCGGCAATGGTTGTAGTCCTTTGTTGTGGAGCCTGGAGCGATAGTTCGGGTCGCACAACGCCAATCATACTTACATGCTTAGGTACCGTGTTAGCAGTGTTAGCATACATGATCAGTTCAATCGATGTGTTCAACGGTACACCCAGTCTTCCGGTAATATTGCTTGGTGCTGGTATAAGAGGAGTGTTTGGCAGATCTGCAATCATGACGATGGCTGTAAATAGTTACGTATCAGATAACAGTCACGTCGACATAAGAACGCAGAGATTGAGTAACCTTGCTGCTATGAGTCATTTTGGATATTTGCTTGGATCTAGTAGCGCTGGATTTTTACTGGACAAGTGTGGATTTTCTACAGTATTTTTAATTGTTATCGTCATAGATACGGGCTGTGTTATGGTTGCGTACGGTTGCATGCGTGATCGGATAAATGATGAATCGTCGATATTTGATAACATGCTTCATGGACGAGAAAGTCCAGAGGAGGTAAAACAGCTCATACCGGGCACGCCTCTCCGACCAAGTTCTAAAAGTCACAGATGTCAAACAATATCTGCTAGTGAAGATTTTATCATAATACAAGTTCCAGCTCAAGATGGTGATACACCAATTAACATTCAAAAAACTTCTACTCGTTCAAGAAAAATTGATGTGGCTGAGAGAAATGAATTTTCCACAATGTCTCTTCCAATCTATGAAATTGATTCAAACATAAAAAATGAATCGGAAATATCAAATGTAGCAAGAACAAGATGCCGTTCAGTAAAAGTATCATGTTCGAGAAGTTGTGATACATTCATTGAACCGGTCGATGAGAATAACTCAAATAAAGATGCGATAAAATTATCCACAGATGATGTGTTTAACAAATCAACAAAAGATGCAACACAAGATGTTAGCAATGATGTACATCAAGAAATAAAAGTCAGTGAACACTCTAACAAATCAGTATCAATAACAGGATCTTTATTCGGGAGTTTCAAAGTTCTTTTCAGACAGCGCGAAGGACGCCTGCGATACAACATATGGGCACTTTTCGCTATCATCTACCTGCATCAAATGAACAAAAGCGGTGATCAGGACATTTACCTTCTCTTCACAAAACGAACTCCGCTTAGTGTTACGAGATCGTTGTACGGATATTTGCTTTCTGCCAATTATGCATGCCTGGGTTTATTTGCATTTTTTATTCCAAAGTTTTTCAACTGCATCAATTTTCGCGCTAAAGATTCCACTCTGGCCATAACGGGAGTTTCGTTTAGAATCATAAGTTTGGTTATTTTGTTTTTCTCCAATAACGTTTGGATGTTGGTAATAGCGGCAGTACTGAGTGGTCCTCATTCATTGGCCGTGTCAACCGTAAAATCGATGGTCAGTAAAATTGTTGAAAGTGGGGAAATGGGCAAAACTTTTTCGTTGATGTCAAGTGGAGAAACTTTATCAAACCTTCTCGGTACTCTCATATATACAAGTATTTATTCCGTGACATCTCAGATACACCCCGGCATCTGTTTTCTATTTGAAGCAGGCGTTTACTGCCTTATAATATTCATAATTACAGAAATGGCTTTAGATGCCAGGGGCGTATCGTTATGCACGTGCCACTCCCCATGCGACGAGAATGTACCTAAAACAAAAAAGCGTGATATTGAGGAAGAACTTATTTTGAATGATGACGACGCAGACGATGATGAACTATTCAACGTCAACACACCAGCGTACAGACACGCAGGTCCAGCAGTACCAAACCCTTTCGACAAGACGCCACAAGATGCACAAAGTCAGGCTATCTTCACCACGCCACACAATTGAAATCCAACTTTATATTTCATACTTAAGATTTGTTCAAAAGATTTTAGTGATCAATTTTTTGTTAATTTGTAATCGTGTACGTGTAATTTAATTAGTTTTGTTATATACTTAACTTACGCCAGTTGTTTGTTTGTTCCACATCTACGTCACATCATAAGTCATATACATGGTCTTTTAACATTAATCAAATCTAACCGATATTATTTTTTATTTTTGTGTGTAAAAAATGTTACGTGAAAAATAAAACGACAAAAATGGATTACGACTAAGTATTTTTTGAACTGCTAAATTCAAAATTTCAATCACAAATAAAAGTTGCAAACATGGTCCTCAATTGTTCCTTAACATGTTCAGAAGAGAAAATGTGCTCCACAGCATTTCGGCTCATTGACCAGACCTCTTCCTTTGATAGGTTGAAAGTTGTGCTAGCCAAGATAAATTCCTTAGATAAACTGGTCGAGAACATACCTTTGTCATCAGTCTATGAAATGAATGAAAAACTATCGATATAAGCAGTATGAAAACTAATATGATTAAATCGATGGATTATCCAAGTGAACGAAAGCGAAATTTAAAAGCCAACATTCTGTGTGAATTGTTTCAGAAAAAAAAAACTGTAGATAATCATAATAATGTGTGGATTTTATATTTATAAAAAAAATTTTCAATCAGTTAATGGTCAATCACCATTAAGCCAGAGGATCGGTATCAATGAAGTAAAATAAACTTATCGCAAAATTTGCTAAAAATATGATAGTAACAATCGTTTTAAACCCAACTGATACGTGCGTGAAAAAGTTGTAATCAAAAAATAAATTGTGATTCACATTAAATGAATGACTACCAAGTTAAAATATTAAGAGAAAATAATTCTGACTCAATAACGTCATTCTCACAAAAACGATGCAACTGAAGAAATCTGTAAAAATGTTGAAGATAATAGGAAACCAATATTTTTAAATGTACGAACAGCATTCGTTTCGTACAACAATTAAATGTTTAGGGTTCTTAAATTTAGCGATAATTTAGAGATTAAAAAATCTGTAAAACAATATTCCACGTCTGAAATTTAGTGTGTTTTAAAATATGTTACTGATAGATTGTATGTACACAATTGAGATTGATTGTACAAAATTTATTGTATTGCAGTAGTACACTCTAATTTTGTCCAAAGCCAATTTTTATTCTAATCTAATACACTGGTCTATTTATCATAGAGCTTAATCACAGACGCGTAAAACATATTTGCGTTTGTTTTAATGGGCCGAGAGTCTAACATTTAAAAAATCACAGCAATGAATTAAAAAGTAGACGAAAGTTTAAAAAAACCAACATGGTGTCAATTGTGCCAGGGGAAAATAAACTTTTGATAATCATGATAATGTTTGGATTTCATATTTTGCATACAGTAGCGGGCATAATAAACTGAACGTAGCACTAAGAAAGAGCACCACAGAGATCGTCATGTAACTCTATTTAGTGGCCACACATGTAAGTTCAAAGATCCGATCACTTCAATATACAAAGACAAAAACATCCTGTAATGTTAATTCCTCGAACCTGATATCAAATCAACAAGCAATGCATTAAAAGACATTTTTGTACACATTCCTTTGACTTATTCACTAAGTATTTACACGGTGGAGAAGAAAACAACGATAATAATAATAATAATAAACATTTAGCAAAAACAAAATAACGATGTCAAATAAAATAACAGTGAAAATAACAACGACAATGAAAATAAAATGCAACACCAACGCAGATGATGCACTGGTGCTTCTTGTCCAGCCAGTATTGGAGATGATGGGAGGAAAGATCCGCTATCGTGCTGGTCATGAGATTCGACGTTAGACAGATCTCTGTAGACCAAATAGACAGATGCAGATGAAATGACACACGCCATTCCAGTAAAATATAAATTACAAAACGACGACTTAATCCTTTCAAAAGTTAAGTAGTTTGTACATGAGCCATCTTGTTTCTATTATATATTGGAAACGCTGTCTGCATTCATGCCTATCATCTAAATAGAATCTTTAATCTCAGTTGTAGAACATTACTCTTGCACGTTCACAAGGTACAGTGGTGAAGGCAAGTAGAATATTAATAATTAATTCTTTACCATTACCATTAACATTATCAACCGCAAAAACAAAATTTTACAAATTTCCAACCAGTGTTTAAAAAAAGAACTAAAGTGTGACCTAGCGGTATGTTTTGAATGAGAATTTTCTGAATGATGTCTATGCACTGATTTGGGTGAGTTGATAAGTTGGTGGCATGTCCAAGCCGATGGGGTCTCAGAGAGATCAGTTTTCTACATTCGTCCTCCCGACCTGCAATCTCATTGTTCAGTACAAATCTATTAAATATGACGTCTGCCTTTATGTCTAAATATATAGTTGAAAAAATATTTCATTGTTGCTCATTGTCAATTTATAAGAAATAAAAGAGAAATTGAATTTCAAAGAAGTCAACCTCTGAAACATGAATGGTCAGTTTGAAAGAAGATTCCCTTGCAGCTTGCAAGACTGGAATGAACTTCTCAACATCTGTAGTCTGAAAAGTTTAACGTCCTCAAAATAACATATCAAATTAATTCTAATTTTAATAATTTACTGATTGAGATTTCTTTCACTGAAATGTTACATAAAACCAAAAGTATTTTTTAAATCATTCAAATAACAAATTATTATCACATCACAAAAGTCAGGCTTCCAACCCTGTGTTACAATAGTGGTCAGGTGATCAGATTGCAAAATTTTACATATGCAAATGCATACACCGTGTGTTTGCATGAAGATAGTAAGCGCTATAGAAATTAGAGTGATCAAAAACAGAAATCAAAAACACCACAGTGACGACAATATCACTAACGGAAGGATGTCCACTAAGGTCGAGCCCCACAATCACATCTCCCATATCTTCCCTCCCCACATCAAAATTTCTAAACTGTTTGGCCAGTTGTAAATTTTCCCAAGCCTCTTGCAATGGCTTGGCCCTGTCAATCGATATTATCAGTTTCACGATAATTTCACTTGTTTTCACAGTAGTAGCATCTCTAATGGCTTGAAGAACACTTTTCAAATAAGATGATTTGGTCATGTTTGAAGTAGAATTGCATTTAGGACCCGTACGAAGTTCTAAATATTTGACGTTGTCGGCAGCAAACTCCTGAATGACATCTTTTGTTATCTGAGTATGAAAAATTCATTTAACTGAAACAAATCGCCAATTTTAGAAAAACAATTTTCTTACAATGTAAACCGACTCATCATCTGAGCACAACTGGTGGATAATGCTGAATTTCTTGAAACAACTGTTTAAAAAAAAATTTATTGTGTTTGATTATATAGATAAATTGAATGTATATAATTTTAATGCAAATGCAAGTTGGTATAAATTATATGTATATATAATATATATCTGTTATATATGTGTAATAGAAAGCATTCCTATGTTACAAAGTGACAGGAATGGTAATACTAACCGCTAACATAGCAAAGCATCAACTAGATGGGTTTTAGTCTAAAGATAATAGAAGCTTGAGTAACCTTAACGCTTTATATAGGTAGATAGAAATATATATACATAATTAGCATTTCCTTTTTTTCAAAACTTTTTATAATTATCTTCCAGCGTATGTCAAACAACTATCTAAAAAAAAATTATAATTCAAATAAGAGAAAATGATGGATGTGACAAAAATATTTTTTATAGCAAAATGACTATATGAAAAAATGTTAATAAAAAAATTGACTGGATATAAAAAAGTGGTAAACAACCAGATGTAAACTTTAAAAGTTCATAATTCTTGGCTAGATTCCAACTTCAGTACACATATGGTTTAATTAATTCTAATAATTTATTAATCATTTTATGAGCAATAATATACTAGCACAATAGAACTCAACGAAAATCAAACACAATCGGTAACATTGCACAACCCAGTCCAGCCCAACAAACTCATCAAGTGACAAATCATTTCCTGGTTTAATGTTACAACCAGTAGCAACAGCTTCACCATGTTGTTCTGAAGATGAAGAGGAGGTTGCTGCTCGTCTCTTCAACAGCTTTTCTATTGTCTGCTCACTAACACTTCCATTTAAATGAGCATGTAACTCCTGTAATTTTATTTTTATTTGTTTGCATATTAATTCAATAAAAAAGATTTATAACTTTTATTTGATTTATATTTTCAGCTAATAAAATAGAACAAACTAAAATAATTAATGGAATTTTCAGTTAACAAAAAGGACTCATTGAGACATAAAAATAAATTGATGATTATCATAACGACATTATGCACAAGTTCAAATCTGCATAGCACATTTTTATGAATTTAAAATTTAAAATATTACATGTTAATTATACCAATAACAAACAAACAATAATAATGAATAATCTATTATATTCCCATTGTAATACCAAACTTTACTTAATAATTTAATCTTAACTAAATAATCACCTTACATAATTTAATTTAGTTTTAAACAACGTTTTTACATTTCAACAACAAGGCTAAAAAAAGTAACAAAATAATAAAATATAAATTTTCATTTCTTATACTTCACTACACTAATATTTATTTATATTTTATAGTACAAAACAAACAAACATTCTACAAAAATACATTAGATTAATTAACTAGAGTGCAAATACACACACACACAAACAAAAGAATGAATATAGCAGACAGATATCTTACTATTTTGGGCATATCTCTGCAGAACTTCTCCATCAGCACCACACCACACAGAACGCGACAGAACGCAACAGAACGCAACAGAACGCACGCAACTTGCGAGCGAAGGATAACGTGCGGGGCGGAAAATTTTCAAAAAAATTTCATTGGAATTCCCCAAGCGTGGATCAATTTTGTTGTTGCACGAGGAGGAGATGATGAATAAATCTCAAACAAGCTTTTAATCATCATCAATAAATTCTAAATGACAATTTCAATCAATAATTTTTCTTATCAGAACCCGCATATTAGTAAAAATACTTTACTCATTTTCAAGAATTTTAAAGTTGAATAAAATTCTACCATGAAAGTCAGTAGGCTAAATTACTGAAGTTCAAGGAAAGGTTAGAAAGGTTGAAGGTCTTAGACACTCTTCAAAAGCTCAAAAGAATCAGCAACACACAAATAAGAAACGATGCATATAGACATAAAAAAATATGTGCCTAAAGAAAGAAAAGCAATTTTTGATAATGTCTTTCAGATGCAAATGTTTGTAGGTCAGTTGATCGAAAAACTTTTTTGGAATAATGAAAAGAGAGATGATATTACATTATAAATGATGGAATGATCGTGTGCAGTTTGAAGTGATTGATTGTTCCATTGTCAGATGATGAATGAACCGATTGGAGAAAATGCTATATCAAATTTAATTTATTTTTATGCAATCAAAATCATCAAATTTAATCAGAGTAGTACTACTTCTAGTTCTACTTCTACTTCTACTTCTACAACAACAACAACAACAACAACAACAACAACAACAACAACAACAACAACAACAACAACAACAACAACAACAACAACAACAACAACAACAACAACAACAACAACACACTGCTACTACTACTACCTGCTACTATTAATACTACTACTACTACCTACTACTACTACTACTACTACTACTACTACTACTACTACTACTACTACTACTATTACTACTACTAATACTACTACTACTACTACTACTACTACTTCTATTATTTCTAATGCTATTACTCTTATTAATATTAGTATCACCACTATTACTATTGCTTCTAATACTTATAAAACAAGAGCTAGGTACACTTCAAACAAATGTTATAATTATAATCACGTGTTAATGTTAAACAAATGTTATAGTGATGATCACTATATGCATGATCAAATCGAAACGAATCATTAAGTTCCAGGCACCGACTGAAACCGATGGTCGAACATTGAACTAACTGCTAGTGAGAAGAACTCCGAATAGATTTACGAAATTGACATCGGATTTTATGGGAAATAGAACTTTTTTTAACGAAATTAACTTTTTGAACGAAATTTCTAGAGAAGCTTATGATTATTTTTTGTTCTGAACATTTTAAAGAAAAATTTATTGAGCAAAAGCGTTAGCTAATTAGAATATGTATTATATTATTTTATGCGTAACGTTAAGCCGACGTTTGTTTATACGTAAGTTGCTTATGCTAACAATAATTTTATGTTAGATGGTTTTTTATTTTATTTTTTTCAAGGAATACGCAGATAAACAGAACATATTGTAGAATTGTGTTATAATTACGGCGTTATGATGCCTTAATAAAATTTACACTAGCTACTTTCTCCTCAAACTTTGACTACAGTTTTTATTATTTAGATTCAGTTTAATAATGAAACTACTTAATGTTAACATAACTTTGAGTTTTTTTAACATTTTGTTAAATATATAATGTTAATGTCAAATGTTTAAGAATGTCCATCGTTAGATAATCAAACTGAGCTTCATGTATTTAATTGATAAATTAATAGACTAGTGAACAAGAAGCCTGGCGGTAGTTTCGTTTCAGTTTTCATACAAATTAAAATATTTCTTTAAAATGCCATGGACAGATTTTTAGCATGTCTCATACGATTTCTACAAAAATTTTGATTATTCCTGCTCATTACCCTTGCTATAATTATTCTAATTTTTTCAAAACAATGTTTTTTTTACTGAAGTTATTTTTATAACTGCTTATTTATTAAAAGAATCATTTCGAACTCACACGGCCTTCAATCAAAATTCTACCGCCATGATAGTCTGCTGCTTTTTTTTCATTAGTCTTTATTATTGCAGCTCTGACATACGCAGAACCACTTACAATGTTACAGATATATTATCTATATATCTTTATTATGTTCTTCATATCTTCAACCAATGATATGAAGCAGCCATCTTTCGACACAAAGGCTGTTTATCCTTTTCACACGACGTACACATGCTTCTTCTTTCTTTTTTAGAATTTCACACCCACAGTTTATTTTTAATTTATTATCGCCTTCAAATTTTTCCTTCCAATTATCTTGAAAAATGCCTCCTATTACAGACTGTAAAAATTATAAAGAAAGCAACAATGGCTACTCGGAATATAAAATGAACTTGAAAAAATCAGGTCGCTTTCAAAAATTCGCATTAAAAAATCACCCACTTTTTAGTGCTTGTGTTTCTTGGTTGGTTTCTTTATAAAAACAATTTGCTTCAGAAAAGTTTTTAGTCTTTCAAGATACCTACAGTATCATATTGTTTCAAGATACCTACAGTATCATATTGTTTTTTTGTACCTACCCATTTCATTACATGAATCCAGATACTTTCGAGCAACTATGTTTTTTTTGACAGAAAGGTTTAAAATGTTCGTAACATGAACGAATCAGTCAATATGCATAAAACTCATTCGGGTTTTTCATCAAACATTAACTAACATTCAGATTCAAACGCAAACATTTGATGTTTTCCGGTCACAAATTTCATGACGACGATAACATATATAGAGTAAAACGAAAACGAAAGCGACGACGTTTGGACAAAATTGAATAAAATTCTTGAAAAGTAAACTTTGCAGTAATTAAAAAAAGTTTGACGTTTTGGACGCGTGGCATGACGTAATTTTAAAAGTCAAATTATAAACAATTAACTTCTGAAAGCACATAAATGAAAAATTTAAGTGCGTTCATGTTTCGTTTGTAGGAAAAATAAGGAAGAATATATGACGCATGGAAAAATGAATAGATGGATGGATGGATGAATGGATAAGTTAAAAAAAGGCGGGAGACAAACTGTCTTACTGAATGAACAAATAAATAAATGAACAAACAAGAGAACAAACAAGTGAATAAAGAATAAATAAATGAACGAACTTACGATTGATTGAATGAACTAATTATTAAACATAATTAATTAGCACAATTTGTTGAACTTTTGTACACATATGACAATAAAGGCAATGGGGGTAAAAGAGAATAGCAGGTTTGTTCCGATTCTCCCTTCCACCAACAAACACACAAACAACACAAACAACACAAACACACAAACAACACACACACACACATACACACAAACAACACACACACAAACAACACACACACACAAACAACACACACACAAACACACACACAGCGCGCACACGCACACACACACACACGAAGACATACACCCACACACCACACAAACATACAGTGGTTTACATTTCATAATGCTATTTTTTAGTAGATTGAAGGCATGCAATTGAAATGAAACAAAATCGATGGTGTTATAATTCATCATGCTTTGCAAGTTTTGACGTTGTTGACTGGCTGGATGGAAACGATGGATGACATTGATGTCGTTGATGACGATGATGGTGATGATGATGGTGATATTGAATTGAAACTTTTTTTCAAAAAGCTTTTTGAGAAAGGCTTTCACAGAGCAATAGAACGCTATTTTAGTAGCCCTATTAAGCGCCATCGACATAGAAACGAACGTACCATTTGAAAGCAACTGGACGGACAAAAACAAAATCCATGAAGAACTAACCGAAATGAAGAAAGCGAAAAAAATCTCTTTTAAAAAAGCATCACAAAAATATTTATAAACTATTAATATTCAGATTTAATAATTAAAACTAAAAGAAGTGGAAAGACGAGAGCACTCTGTTAGACGCACCCGGAATCAATTTCCGCTTCACCACCACTACAACGCCACTTCAGCCACCATCACCACCACCACCATCACCACAACAACAACAACAACAACCACCACCACCACCACCACCACCACTACACGACATTTGCCACTCACATCTCTTAGGAAAGTCGGCTCAAATCTACGACGCCACAACCAAGCGATCTCTCAACTCCTGGTTGATTCATTCTCCTTGACTTGACAGTCAACAGTAATAATAATGAGAACGATGACGATGATGATATGGACGATGATGTTGATCTTTTAATGATAAGAAAGTCTATGACTAGTTTGTTCAGTTCAGTATCATATGGGCTGCGAGATGGTCTAACGGTCAGGGTTATGCGCCTGGTTCTGTCGCGGTTACAATGCACAAACAGTGCCTGAGTGTGTATGTGTGTGTGTGATTGTGTGTGTGTGTGTGTGTGTGATGCGTGGAGTCACGCGTGCCCACCCACAGACGACGCACTTGTCGATATTTTTTTTTTTTTTTTTTTTTTTAATCCAAATTTTATTTGACAGAAAAAATAAGTCAGGAGATCAAAAAAGTAACAAACTACTTGTGCAGACCACCTTAACTAATTAAAGTTCGTGTGCAATGTACAAAACACAAAGTAGACAAGTCGTTAAATAGAATTAAACATAATAAAAATATATATATACATACACACACATACACACATATACACACACATACATATATATAATAACATCTTAAACATCGACGGACATGGACATAACTTCGCTCTTAGCATAATGCTTAAAGTGTTCAATTGTAAGTTGCAATTGGTTATGCATAGCCAAAGCGTTCCAAAGTCTAACTCCCTTAGCAACCCAACTTCTATCGTAAGTAGAAGTTCTAACTTTTTTTGACATCAACATACCATGTTGTCTGGTGGCCGATGTGATCTTACAAAAAACATTTAGGTGCTTATAATCGTTATAAGAAAGAATTTTATAAAGAAAAATCAGAAGAATGTAATTGTGTAATTGATCAAACCTAAGAATTTTATGACTTCGGAACAAATGATTGGTGTGATCACGATAACTTAAGGAGAAACACAGGCGTATAAAACTCTTTTGCAGCACAATGATCTTATTGATTAGATATTTACTTGCGGATCCCCAGAAAACATTCCCATACAGCAGATAGGGATATAGAAAAGAATAATAAAGCATCATCATTGTTTCAGTATCCAATCTGTTTCTCGCTTTAAATAATATTCCAATAACTTGATACAATTTATTGACTATTTTGTTAACGTGATTGGTCCATTTTAAATCACTTTGAAGTATAACCCCCAAAAATTTTATCGATTGCACTCTTGGGAGCACAGTGCCCTGAATGAACAATTTATTTTTTTCTAGAATTTTGTTATTAGTACTTATTTTAGGGCCAAATATAATATAACATGATTTACTTAAGTTCAATGCCAATTTATTTTTCAAAAACCAATCACAGAATTTTTGGAGCTGACGATTCATTTCTAGGAACAATTCATTTGGGTCTTTTCCCGACAAAAAAATATTGGTGTCGTCGGCGAACAGGATTGTAGTACATTTATCTGATATTGAAAAAATATCATTTACGAAAATTATAAATAATAGGGGGCCGAGTATCGAACCTTGGGGCACCCCTGTTTGAATTTTAAACGGAGGAGACACTACATTATCAACTGAAACAAACTGACTCCGATCAGATAAATACGACCTGAACCAGTCAAACACAACTCCACGAAAACCGTACATCGACAACTTTATTAGCAAAATTTCGTGATCAATTACATCAAAAGCCTTTTTTAGGTCAATGAAAACACCCAGGCTAAATTTTTTCTTATCGAAACCCTCCAAGAGAGACAAATGCAACTCAGCAATGGCCTTCTCAGTTGAAGATTTTGGGACAAAACCATACTGATGTCTATTGATCACGCTATGCTCAATCAGATAATCCCACATGCGATTGAACATTAGCTTTTCAAAAATCTTGGAAAAAACCGGCAGTATTGAGATTGGACGGTAGTTTTCAAAAAGAGTCGGGTCACCACCTTTAAAAACCGGTATTACTTTAGCCATTTTTAAATCATCAGGGAATTTGCCCATTTTAATAGAATCGTTAAATAGTTTTGAGATTTGACTAGCAACATGAAAAACAGTATGTTTGAGGATCTTAGTAGAAAGAAAATCACAATCAAAACTATTTTTCAAATTCAAATTGCCAACGACCGAGACAATCTCATCCGGAGTTGTGTCTCGTGGAATAAATATTGGGTTATTAGAAACCACATATGGACCGACATTTGAAATCAACTGACCATCGCCTAAAATTTTATTGATATTTTTACCTATCTCAACAAAAAATTTATTCAACCCTGTAACGGTGCTCAATTTAGCAGTTTCACTGGCATCATTTGAGAACAATTTATTGCATGATTTTTTTGACCCCAAAATTTCATTAATTATCCTCCATCTGTGTTTTGTTCCAGGTTGATTTTTTAATTTATTTTCAAAATATTTTTTTTCCGTGAATCTTTTGACATTTATAAATTTATTTTTAACCTTATTATATGCATTTTTATTTGCAGGGGATGGATTGTGTAGATGCCTTTTGTAAAGAACATTTCTATACAAGGAAAGATTATAAAGATCGATATTCATCCATGGCCTTCGGAAGCGATTTTTTTTATTCACCAATGGCAAAGCTAGATTGATGCAGTTTAAATAAGTCTTTAGGAAATTCTTAAAATTTGATTCAAAATCGGACCCGTAATCAGACATGTTCCACTGGATATTCTGTAATAAACAATTTGCTTTTTTTAGGTTCTCAGAATTAATCAAACGGGTTTTAATGTAAGGGTTTTTGCCACCGACAGCCTTAGCATTCAATGGTATGCAAAGAAAAATAGGTAAATGGTCAGAAACATCGCTGTATAGAATTCCTTTCGGGCAGCCGCCGATGCCATAATTAGTAAAAACATTATCGATCGTTGACGAATGGCTTGATGTTATTCTAGTCGGTTGGTTGATAATTGGATGCAAATTAAATTGAGCCATAAGATTTAAAAACGATAATGATGCCTGGTTTTTTACAGCCAAATCAATGTTAAAATCCCCAAGTATAAAAACATCACTACTGACATCGTCTTTTAAAAGTTCATATAAAAATTCCTGCATTTTAGATAAGAAATTATCCAATTTATAATTTGGTGGCCTATAAATACAAATGATTATATTTTTTTTATTGACAGAGGCAAATTTAATTCCGACCCATTCAAACAGGTCGGAACTGAGAGAAAAATTACAATTTAAATTTTCGTACGCTAAGTTTTTATCAATTAAAAAACCAGTGCCCCCACCCCTTTTACCCAACCTATTTTTCGCAACTAGACTATGGCATGGAAAATACGATAGTATAGGGCCATAGTTAGTGTCATCATTTAGCCATGTTTCACTTAAAGCAACAATTTGAGGGATATTAACATATAATTGAAAACCATTAATCAACAGTGCCAAATCATCAGCATGCGCAGTCAAACTTCTGACATTTATATGTAGTAAAAATAAATTAGAGTTATTGTTAGCTGAAACATTTAAAAAATCGATAAGTTCACAGAAAACAAAATAATGACTAATGTTATTTGGCATATAGTATTCACAATTTACAATAGCATCCACATCATCAAAATTGTTCAACACACATGATCCATCAACATCCAAAACAAATGGCATAGTTTCATCCTCATCTGCATCATCCATATCAACGACATCAGAAGCAACACAAACATCATAAGACACCGCATCACACCAATTCATCGCTCTACCACTAGCAGGATTCATATTCATTTCTTGACCATCGGTAATTTCATGATCTTCCATCTTCCTGGAGGACCCCTCACCCTGAACAAAAAATCACCACTTGCTGCCTCTTGTTTTCTAGCCTCGTCCACCAAACTCTTTAGTTCAATTCTTTGATCTTTGGTTAAGTCATGGCTGAGGCTAATATTACCAAATTCATTGTTTAACAGTTTTAGTCTCGAGAGATTGCTCATTATAAGGGCTTTAATTTTTATGTTGTCCATTTTAATCAGCAATGGCCTATTTGAGTTTTCCTTTTTCTTCCCCAATCTTTATATTTTAATGACATCCTTGTCATTTACAGCATCATCTGTCAAATGCTTAAATATTTGAATGATGCGCTTTTTGTCATCACCATGTTCTGACAGTCGGAACAACATAATATTTCTTTCTTTCTCTTTAGCCTCAGATGCCTCGACCAGTGTCTTCTGCACATTTTTGAACTCAACGCTGACTGCTTCCTTCGTCTCGATCATCTCCTTTTTTAACGCTTGGAAACAGTCGTTTATCACCTCATCATTTAACTTCACAACATTTGTAGTCACAACATCTTTTAGAGTATCTGCATAAGATTTTTTAAGATTTTCCTGCAGCACCACAATCCTGTCATCAATACTTTCGTTATCATCTCTGCTGTCAAGTTTGTTTTGAACAATCTTTACCTGATTACTGAGTGAGACGTTGCTTTCTTGCAACTTTCTTATCTCCTCTGTCAACTCACTTAGTTGTTTATTCGATCTAAACATGTCAATATGTTCAAGGCAGTTTTTACATATCCAGACGAAATTAACAGCCTGCAGGAGTTCTTTTGTTGTTTGTTCAGTTACTCCACTACATTTCCAATGCATAGTCACTGAACTACATAATTTACATTGTAACGAATCCTTTAAAATCGCATTTCCATTGCAACTCTGACATTTATTTCTGCCTGCCATCAATTAAAACAACTCAAAACGTAAACACTGGACATGCAAATTTAAACTGCACTTATGTTCGACTTTAACGTTAGTATCAGTCTACAATCAGAACAAATTTCACAACTCTTAGGAGTGTATGTACAGAACTATAAACAGCTACAGTAAATAACCAGCCTAAATTATTTGCCTTTCAACTCAAACTATTAAAGATTAAATTTAAAACTAAATTTTATATTATTCAAAAAATAAATTATATATTCATAATCCCCTTAATTTTGTCTATAAAATGAACACAAATTTAGCAATTTAACTTTGAAAAAAAAACGCTGAAAATTAAGAAATACGACGAGTAATCTAAATGCGTCCGATACATAGAGTTATACATACATACAAAGATATCCTCGAGATTATTCAAGAGAGAATAATTAATAAAAATTAATAATATTAATTAACATTTTTATGAATATTAAATTTGGTTATTGTTAAGAAAACAAAGACGAATGTTAACTTTCAGTGACATAAAATTAGCACGTTATGATTGTCATTAGTTGTATTTTATTGGGATGAAAATTGTTCTGAAATATTACAATATTACTTCATAGAGTGTATTTATTTTGTTTGTGTTCACCCTAATGATGTGGTCAGAATTTACAACCTGAGTCGCACTCAACTGCGAACGATGGCACTTCAGCACATGGACACAACCTCTTTCCAGCCTACTTGCATGCCAAGATGTACAAATTTTCAACATGACAAATTGAACCATAAAAAAATTTATTGCAGTAGATTAGAAACAAATTGTCTCATAAATTGGTGCGTACAGACCTGCACAGCGAATATACAAAAGTTCCTCCGCAGAATTGTGTACAAGAATGTCCAGATGTATTTGCTTCCTTGTGCATTTGTGCTTGACACTTTCAATCATGTTTTGGATTCTTTTCGTTAGAACACTCTGACAAATTTTTCTCTCAAGAGGAGAGTAAATCATTTTTTGCATGTTTGTAAGATTTAAAAGTTGGCTCGGAGTGCTAATAATAAATTAAATTTGATTAAAGTCAAAATTTAACATAGAATATGCAAGAGCTATATTAAATCAATTTAAAATTTTGTTTGGAATATAATGATGATAATAAAAATAAGGCGACATTTACGCGTCATCCAGTGCAGAGCGCCAGTGACGCATAGAAAGAAAGAACTTTTCGCAAACACGCAGCGTGCTCGTGCATGCGAAAACAACGCATCAGTCGCATGTTGACATGTGCACGATTGGCAGACTTCCTTCTGCATTTGAACCAAGTAAGCGAACAGAGAACCACACCTCACCGCACTACGTTGCCATCTCGCCACTATAAGAAATGTTGTTCATCTATTTTACCAGCAAATTTTTATAATTATTGCTGCTATAATTCAATTTTTATTGTTGAGATGCTCAACGTTGTTTCTTTCCCTGTAAGTATTTAGGAATATAAGCTAGTGAAATGTGCATGTCGTAATAATTTTGCACATAGGAAAGGGAAGAATTGCAGTTGATAAGCAACTCCATTAGAACGTTGCCTCCGTTGATTGCTCTGCTGAAACTGTCACAAGGAGGCAGGCAAATATTTGACAGGCAGGAAACTCATAAAAATTTGCAACGTAACGGAGAGAGTTAGGGGGAGGTGAAAAATGAAGATCATATTTTTCTGTTTTTTGTTCTTTTGAGTTTTTGTTTAAAGGGAATGTGCTATGTGAACGTTAAATTTTTAACTTGTCATCTCGCAGAACTCCTTCGTAACTCAACGGAGGGAAGCAGTCCTAATGACGGCTTCGTTAAATAAATTTTCAAACATTTTCTAAAATTCTTTTTCAAACAAGAATTTTAATTTTTAAAGCCATTAGTTGTATTCTTTTTTAAAAATTTTTTCAGTTAAAAAATTTTTCATGAAGTTAATAAATGATTGAAAAAGGTTGCATTATTGCGATTTTCAAGTTTTAATAAAAGCCAGCTATATATATATATATATATATATATATATATATATATATATATATATATTTATATATATATATTAAAAAATAAACAATTATACTTTTTCAACTTTTTGATGTTGATGTTATGTTGTTATGTCATGTCGGTATGATGTCATGTCAGTATGATATCATGTCAGTATGATATCATGTCAGTATGATATCATGTCAGTATGATATCATGCCAGTATGATATCAGTACGATGTCATGCCAATATGATGGCAATTGACATTTGGCTTTTTCAAACTGATAACAATAATTTTCTGCAGGTAATTTCTAATATTTTTGATCATTTTGTTTTGTTTTTGGCTAAATGAAAAAAAAAAACAAAATTTTTGTTACATAAAAAATAGCGAAAAATTTGTTCAATTACACTAAATAATACAGCAGCATGAGTTATTTTCAAATGGATGCAAACAAATTTTTGGCGCCAAAATGTCTTGATCTAAATAAAAACGTTTGACTGATAAAAACATACAACAATTCGCCATTCTACTGCAAAGTAACGAGTACTAAGAAAAAAGCATCTCATGATATGAGTACACACACCGTACTTATTTGAACTGAGCTATTTTTATTGTCTCAAATAATATTTAAAATTTTATATTTTTTCGATTTGTAGATGAATGATGATTTGTAGATGAATGATTTGTAAATGAGTGATGATTTGTGGCTGAATGATTTTTAGAAGAATGATGATTTGTAGATAAATGATTTGTAGATGAATGATGATTTGTAGATGAATGATGATTTGTAGATGAATGATTTGTTTTCAACGATTTGTCCAATTAAACTGTAAAAATTCATCCAACTTTCATTCAACAGCGCACGACCTCCGACATCTTAATCTCGCGTGCACAGATACGCGCCAATGCTATTATACATTCTATTTAGTTTTGCAATAATTGTTATCCTAGGGCTGCAATATTTTAAGGCTCTGATAACGTGTGCAGAGATCGTCAGGATGTGCCACGCGGTAGATGTTTGCACTGCTGAAAATAAATAAATAATTAATTTATAAAATGGAGAACAGAACTGTTTTAACAGGCTCTTAACAGATGCACACAAACATGTAGCAGGCAAGCAGACCAACGTGCAAACACACACGTAAATAATTAACTAAATATTATAAAAAAAACTAAATTACTGAACGATTTAAACGAATGAATAAAACGGTAAATGAATAAGGAAATGAGTGAATGAATAAATGAATGTATGAATTAATTAATAAATGAATGAATGAAGTAATTATTGACCCAAAACAAAATTAGAGGAATAAATAAATAAATATATATATATTCGTGCAGTCTAATTGAGACATTGTAATTATTCGAAGATGGCGGTTAATTTGAGAGTTTTCTTAATGTTGATAAAGGCTCGCATTACTTTAGAAATTCAATTTATTTTAATACTTTATCCTCCAATTTTTTACTCACTTAGTTAAGAGGAGTTTTTCCTCTTGCTGCAAACATGTTCGACCCGATACGAATCAATACAATTCTATTTATGTCTTTCTATTTATATTAAGATTATATTTATATTATATTTTAATTATGTTTTATATTATATCATATTTTTTAATTAATTTAAAATTCATTAATTTTGAACGAATCGTTCGTTCTTTATTTTAATCGTTCTTTTTTATTTTAAATTTTCAAGATTTTAAAGTTTGTAAAAATACTAATATTTATTTCTTAACTATTTCAACGACTACCATTGAGGCTGTCACACCTTAGTGGAAATGATATCGATTTGTTTGTTTGTCGAGTGGCTTCTGACGGCAGTCGTGTGATGCTTTTCCTGGCGCGCTGGCTTTAAAAAATATTAAAAACGTTAAAAACTTGATGACTCTTGAAAAATGTATCGTAGGGAAATATTTGATGTGCAGAAGTCTGTCCTCAAAAATAGTTTTCGATGTTGTTTTTGTATAAATTTTTTTTGTTGCAGCAACAGTTGCAAGTTTATAAATTGTTTCTGAACAAACATTTTGTGGCGTGGATTGCTTCTTACAAACGATCAACTCCTCTCCCGGTCGTCGTTCTCGTCGATAGTATCTTTAAATCTTTAGTATCTTTGATGATGACGATGAACGAATGATTGTCATTAAAACCAGTTGGGTTGTTGGTACGACGAACTGAAGGTTTTTCATTATTAAACAAAATTTTTTCTTCTTCCAATCTAATTTTTTTATGTTTATTTGACATAAAAGCATTTGAGTGGGTAATTTTCTATTTAGCCCCAAAAAATTAATGCATCTCTAAAAAATGAGCACCATTACCGATGCCGGCAAATTTGTAAATACTGTCGTTCGTGCGTTCAAGTACCATGTATGTTTTTACCAGGCAAGTATATGTGCGACATTTTACGTCAGCGTGATGTTGAATATGCCTAGATGTGGAGTGTCTGCAAGTATTTGCATATAAATAACCTAATAAAATAAATATGTTATAAATAATGCGATGATCATATCGAGAAATGATTGATGGTCCATTAACGCAAACTCCGTCTCTATGTGAGATGTTAGTGAATTTATGTTCAACCATCTGTATACTCATTCGTGTGTCCTTGAGTTGTATGTGGTGTGGATGTATTTATGTACGTACACAACAATGAGTGTTGGATGTAAATGTACGAATACATGTTTGTATGTGTGTGTGAGTGTGTATGTGTGTGACACTAAAATACAAAAAACTTCACGGAAATTTTGTATGTCAACCAAATTGTTTAGCAAAATTTGTAAGGCGAACGTATGTTTGTGTGAATGCAATATGTATCTGGTGTTTGTTTGTGTGGGCAGCACCTTTTGTGTTATTTGTTTTTAAAATCTTATTCCTGTATTTCTGCTCGCATTGCTATCGAATTTCATTGACACTTTTTGTTTAAAAATATTCTGATTTGAAAAAAAATGAAAAAAATAAATTTATTAATATTATTGAATGATTATTAATCAAGAATAATTTTTCTTAAATGTTGAATTTGTTAATAAGTTAAGTTAGAAACATTGTTTTGTTGTAAATTTAACGACAAATAGTCACGACAACTAAAGGAAGAGTAAGTGATGTGGTAATGACTTGAAAGATGATGTAACTTAATATGTCGTCAGGTTAGGTCAGCCATATATAAGTCATGTGACGTTATATTACGTCATGTTGCGTCAAGTTAAGTTACGTTACGTCGTGTCATATAAAAGGTCTTTGTGACCATTTTTCTTCCCGGCATTTTCTTCGCGACTTGATTTATATTCAAATGTGAGCTTTTCATGTCGAGTCTACGTCAAACTTTGCTTGCGTCTCTGTGCAGGGGAGATGGGAATACACGAAGAAAAAGGAAGAGGAAGAGAGAGTAAGAGAAAGTAAGAAAACGTTAGAGTGAAGTGAAGAAAGAAAAAAAATAGCAAAGAATAAAAGTGCATTTGTTTAATTATGTATTAACAGAATGCATAAAAAAATGTGAGATGCATTGATGTACGTATATGTTGTCACAAACATGATACGTACGTATAACGAAAGCAATTTTATAATGATGCATGCATGTATGTATGTATGTAAGTATGTATGTATGTATGTAGGTATGTATGTATGTATGTATGTATGTATGTATGTAGGTATGTATGTATGTATGTATGTATGTATGTATGTATGTATGTATGTATGTATGTATGTATGTATGTATGTATGTATGTATGTATGTATGTATGTATGTATGTATGTATGTATGTATGTATGTTTGTATATATATATGTGTATGTATGTTTGTATATGTATCTATGTTTGTGTGTGTGTGTGTGTGTGTGTGTGTGTGTAGGTGAGTATGCATAGGTGTGTGAATTACGGCAGGTAGAATGTAAATAAGAATGCCGTCGTTGTGCATGCATGCACGCATGTACGTTTTAACGTAGAATAAAAGGTTTCAGCAGCTGATGTTGCTGTTTTTTGTTCGTTCTGACAATGCTAGAGAAAGACAATGGGAAAAAAGCGTCGCTGGCAATAATAACAATGATGATGTGATACAAATTTGACTGCGATCATCATGATGAAAATGATGATGATGAAAATGATGATGTCGAAATTATGATGGTGAAATGATAATGATTAAAATGATGATGATGAAAATGATGATGATGGCAACGATGATGAAAACGATGACGATGATAAAAATGGTGATGATGAAAATGACTGGTGGCAAATGAATGATGGACACTGACGATGTTGTCGTAGGTTATTTGGACGTGAAATCTTTGGTCAATGTGATTGGATTTTGTGACCTTGACATTATAATATAATGTGATGTCAGGGTCAGATATACAAATAGGAAGGCCACTATGCAGCAAAAATGTTGATACCCTTAATCCTTTAGTGGATTAGACCTGTAATTTTTATTGATTTTTTTGTATATATGTATGTATGTGTTTGTGTGTGCGTGTGTGTGTGTGTGTGGTGTGTGTGTGTGTGTGTGTGGATAGATATGATGAAAATGGAAGAAGATAAAGAAGATGATAAAGATTAAGAGTAAAACGAGAAAGATCATGAAGATGACGAATGACAGCTCTTGTCATTAGTTTCCTTTTAATTAGAACGTGGTCTGTATTAACAGAAAAAAAACTACAAATCATAATGATACTAACTTGAAAGCAAAATAAAATATTGCATATTTTAAACAAAATATTATATTAACTATATTAAAAAATTTTTTATCAATTGAAATGAAGATATTTTAAATATATTCTTATGGCAAAATGACGTTGACTGATGACAATGATGAGTAATATTAAATAATTTTACTAAATAATTATAAATACTGTTAAATAAT